AGTATTTTACGTGACAGTTTTTCTAATTATGGAAATTTCTCCCTCTATTTTAGAGGAATTTCAGTGCAGTTCTTTCATGCTCCATGTGTAAAGAAAGAACATATACCAATAGCACAGTACCAGTACTTTTTCAAACACGGAGTATTTTTTCTGCTCTCAAGAGTTTTACTTAACTGTTTGATAACGATTACGCTAAAACAAGGCAAAACACAGGGTATAGTAGAGATAGGAAGTGAAGAATTTTCTTAATACAAATATCTACCATAAAATGGTCACTGGCAAAATCCATGCATTTTATGAGTTTTCTGATTACCTTGGTTTGTCAGGTACAGGATTTTATATAATTTGTTGCTACCAGTTGTTTTTTTCTGTCATTCAGAAACAGTGGTAGTTAATCCTGAAAAGTTCTTGAGAAGTAAAATTTTCTGCATATTTATTTCAGATTGAATTGGCTATCCAAATATTCTTGGACAGGCTGGTTTTTTTTATAATAGTATTACGATCAATTCCCTTCAGGTTTCTATGACAGCAGAAACCATGGAAGTACTGTTTGTTTTACTTGCATTTTAGTCTCTATGATATTGATTGTGCTTAGTCTTTACTTGCTAATGTGGAAAGCCAGATAAATGCAGCATGTGATGACTGTCTCATGAAAGAAGCTGATACGCCTGCATGAAAGTCATCTGTATGTGTAACCTGTAGCAGCACATGCTTGCTTGTATGTTGCAACCAGCCAGCTTGATGTTCCCAAGTACTATTGTACACAAATATATATCATTCATCATCCATTTGATTTTTATTTCAGTTCAAATTGTGAGATTCTGTTCTAGTGTTCAGCAAAATGTTGGGCTTCTATTTAACAGGAAACCAAAGATAAGGACTTTTCAATGTAATGTTATGCTAGTCAGTTAAATGAGAGCCTGTCAAGTTATTGGCACAGGGGCAAAAACCAGGTGGGCTGTTACCATGTGCCTGAGTGTTTTAACTGGTCCAGGGGAGGGAATGTCAGTGAACTGTATAAATGACTTAATTGGCACACCGTATGGCAGGAGTTCTAACTACAGAAGGCATTTGCTTGGCTACTTTAGTAGCTTTATATTCTTTGAGGGGAATTTGTTGGTGGAGAGCTAATTAATAAATGTCATTTCATAGGATGCAATTTTGAGTTACAGCAAAAAGGAAAACTTAAATGATCTTAATTATCATTGTGGTGGGTTTTTTTAACACTTGTGATATTGCCAAGTTCTGAAATGCAGAGGCTGTCAGCGCCATCTTTTGGCAGCAGAACTTTCATAGCAATAAAACCTTTAAGCACAGGTTTAGTTTCTCTTTTGGAAAGTATTTATGTATTAGAAGAACAAAACCTTCCATAACATAATTTTCCTCTTCAGAGGAAGAAGGGAAACAGTGTTTGAACTTGTGTTATCTAACAAAAAAAATTTTGCACCTTTCATAAAATTCTCAACTATGCTGAATTTAAAACATTCTTAGTATTTTTTAGAACAAGACTCTGGTTACTGTTAAATTAATTTCATTTAACTTTTTTAAAATTACCAGGATGGTTTTAGTCTTGCAAATACTCAAATTTTAGACATGTAACTGGCCTGAAATAGCAAGTGACCAATACGTTAAGTAAGCTTGTTACAAATGTTTTAACGTCATACTCCTGCCCATTCCTCACTACTGTTATCTTGTTGCCTGTAGACTTGGTCACTAGTCAGTCAGGTTGATGAATGTCACTGCAACCAATACAATTAAGGCAAATGTAACTTTCCAGTTTTTAAAACTCCTTTGTACAGTGCTTACTTATATTTGTCAAGATTTAAATGAATACTCTGATGGGAGGGGGTAAATGCAACATGACTAAAATTTGTAATGTTAAAAGCTAGCAAGAGCTTCTAGGGATTTCTAGACAGTAAATTGCAGTTTTTCCAATAAATAAGGCTTTATTTCACTTGTAGAGAGACTGGAGGCTGATTTGCATGTTCCAAATCTGTGTAATTCTTTATAGTTGTATTGATGAAAGGAATTACTCTAAATTACAAGGTACTTAGTTTAGAAATCTCACAACAAAACTGGTGATTTTTTTTTTTTAGGAATTGTAAATTATTTTAATGGGGCAAAGTATTTTTCTTTGGTTTCATATGTAACTGTTCAATGGACCGTTTAGTTTTTTTTAGGGAATTCATAACCAGTCTTAGATAAATGAAGTCTAAATTTAGTAAGTTTTTGTAAAAAGCTAGTTGCCTTAAGATAAACCTGTATCAAAGGAAGATACATATGAGACTTGCAAAGTAAAAAGAAAAGATAACAATAATAAACCCATTTTGGAAAAGTGTGAAAAAATCTAAAGTTTGTGTAGGTAGAGACTGGAGTTCCTGTGAATAGTGTGTATTTTACTGTACACTCATTTTATTGTTTTGATCTGACAGAAATCCTTTAGTTCTTTAAGTCTTAGTATAAACATTAAGTATTGTATAGTACATGCTTTCGAGCAAATGATTTTTCCAGATACCAAAATTTAGGCTTTCTATGTTTGGCTGTTCAATTTTTCTAGCCTTTTTGGAAAAGGCTCAGAGGCCAAGGGGCACCGTAACATTAAATGTCCATAAGTTTTCTGCAAGCTAACAGATTGATATGGGGTGAGCAAGTGAGGAAGCATACCCTGAATTTCCATCCTTTCATTCCTTTCAAAGTCCTAATGTCCATGAATGTACATGGTACTGCATCTTCTGTGACCAGCAGAATGATGCAGAGGTATGAAATGTTTTTTTTTTTTTTGTGGGTTTTTTTTTTTTTGTGTTTTTTTTTTTTTTTTTTTTTGTGTGGGTTTTTTTTTTTTTTTTTTTTTTTGTTTTTTTTTTTTTTTTTTTTTTTTTTTTGTTTTTTTTTTGTTTTTTTTTTTTTTTTTTTTTTTTTTTTTTTTTTTTTTTTTTTTTTTTTTTTTTTTTTTTTTTTTTGTTTTTTTTGTTTTTTTTTTGTTTGTTTTTTCCTTAATGGCTTTTCTTTTACCTTGGAACATTTGGTCAGCTAAAATTGCTACAGGGTAGAATATTTTGTTTTGGAAGTTTCTGACAATTGTCTTGGATTCACTGCATTTCTGTAGGTTTGTTTTAGGTTTGTGTTAACGTAAAGAGTTTTTCTGTCACCTACTCTAGCTGTGGTATCTAATGAAGTTGAAATATCTCCTAGTCTGTGGTAGGTTTTCAGCACTGGTTTTATCTTTCCACTGTGTAGATTGTAGAAAATGTTTTTCCTTCCACCCCATACTTGCTGTAACTCCTCAGATTACATCTCTTCCAAGTGAAATGGAAGGGCATGTAATGCTTATCTGGAACAGCCGGGTTGCAGAGGTGACCTGACAATTCTGGACATTGTTTCCCTTCTCGTGTTTCCTTCACTAGATGATCACTTCAGGCTGAAGCCTCTAAAACTCCTTGGGTGCTCTGTGTTAAGGTCTGTGAACTGCCTTGTTTCAAAGCACTGATGCTTTATAGTGCTTTGTGGGTGGGGATATGTTTCACCTGCCTAGATGGTACCCCAGTGATTGGTGTTTAGGATCCCAGCAAAACACACAAACTTAGGGAGAATGAAATCAACTGCAAAGTACAGCATGATGCTATCAAACACACTGAACATGAGTGAAGCGGCTCCCAGTTTCACCTAACTGCAAAGAAATTGCTTCCTGTTCACCTTCTGTTAGGCTATACGTACCTATATACAAAGTCTGTGTGTTAGAAATACCTGAATTATGCTGAGCAAATTAATTTCTGAAAGGAAGGAGGGATGGGTTTCCTAACATGTAGAAGGCATTTTAGTATTTGAGTTGATTTTTTTTTTTTCCTGTTATCAGAATTAATGACATTTCTCTTGCCATTGCGTTTTTTAACTTTGGGAATATTGTTCAGTTGTCTCTTAGTACTGCCAGAGCAAACCAGACCAACCTTTTCCAAATAGCACTTAAGCAGTCTGTTTGAGAAATTAATCCTTGTAGCCAATGCTCTGCAACTTTTTCAAATTTTGGACTCTCATGCCTTTTATCAGTGTAAGCCTATTTTTACATAAAACAGAGATTGAAGTAACCTTCTTGTTATATTCTAAAATTTAATCTTTAAGATGAAAATATTTTTTTTTGTCCCTTAATTGAGGAGTTTTATTATTTAAGACAAACACAAGAATTATTCAACTCATAGTAGTGGTTCACTTGCTATATCCTGTTCTGTTGATTTAGTGTGAGAATCAGATTTGTGTTATTCAGAAATTATCCAGTATTTATTCTTAAAAATGCTGTGTTACAGTGTAATCAATGACAAATACTTTACCCTTTATCTCTTTTATCAGATGTAGACATCTGTTTTCTATTCATGCCTGTAATGTCTGGGTTAGGATTAACACTATCCAGAACGAAAGCATATGTTGGCCATAAGGAATGTCATAGGCAAACTTCATGGAATCACTGTTTTATTTGTTTCTCATTGCTGTTTTTCTTCCCTGTATATTTTTTTTGTTGTTAGTCTTGAAAGCTTTTTTAAAAAAAAGTCATGAATCAATCACTTCTGATATGTGGGTGGCTTAGTGATTCGTAGTCTTTGTTGCGCATTTTTAAATAAAACACTGATATGTTAATATTAAAATTTGCCTTCTGATTTTGGATAGTAGTTGCCCATTTCTGTAATCTCTCAATGTAGGTAGTGTTCACAGAGCTCCTAAAACTTCTAGAGTCTGTGTAGCTGTATGTGTATAAAATGGAGAAAAGAATGGCATCAAAAGGAGTTTTGAAGTTTCTGTCAGCCTACGTGTAGCAGGATGCCAGTGCTTGTGCATGCTTTACTGCAGTAAAACTATGCTTGGAATCAAATGGCAGTACATTAATGGAAATACTGCATGCAAGAAAATGTCCATATAATTCCCAACAGTCTCTACCAAACGGCAGTTAACCATGTCTCTTTTTATAAATAAGCTACATGAATGTCTTGTCTTTTCTTTCTTTCCCTCATCAGATTTCCACATGGAAGAGGTTGTGGAGTGGCCTGGGTTAGACCTCAAACTAGGCCAAGTTTCTGGGTTGGCACTGGACCCTGAAAATAACCTAGTTATCTTCCACAGAGGTGATCGTGTTTGGGATGAAAAGTAAGTAGATGCTCTGCCAAATGCCGTGTTAGGAGGTCAGACTGCTGTGTGCTGCTTGTATTTCTTCTCAAGAAATGACAAGACACATTGCAGTTGGTTTTCCACTTAGAATTCAGTTCTTTGGCTGAAAATGCATTTGGGAGTTCACTCCACTCAAAGACTCATTCAAAGACAGTTGAAGATGGTGGGTTTAACTAGATCTTTAGGCAGTAAGAATGTGTCTCTGGAGAACAAGAACATAGTACATTAGGTACTTAAACTGTTTGACTATGTTAGTATGATACTCACTGAAATTAATTACATCTGCTTCTCCACGTTTTTTAGCAGGACTGCTAAGCCTAGGAGAATGATGTTTTAGTATGGTATACTAATATTATTTATGTCCACTGAACAAAACTGTGTTGTTACAAGGAAAACTCTTCTCTGGGTTTTTAGCTAAATTGTGTGGATCCTTATGTCCTCTATGTGTTCTGTGTGCTGGTGTTTACCATCTCTGGAAGTGGGTCAGGGGTCTTGTCCTGTTTTACTGGATGATGGCAACTTAGGATATGATTGTGTCACTGGCTATGAGGTTAAATGGGTATGTGTATTCAGCCTTGTCATTTTTCAGTGACCTCACTCAATCTGTGGGTGAGACAGGGGAGGAGACGCTCTAAGCTTTTCAGAATTTTGGCTATCCTTGGAACATCCAGGCCAGCATGCTCATGGTGCTATGTGTTTTGCATGTTTGCCAAGTTGGAGGGTTGGAAGGGACCCTAGAGATCATCTAATTCAACCTCCCTGCCATGGGCAGGGATGGCTCTCCACTAGTCTAGGTTACTCAAGGCCCCATCCACAACCTCTCTGAGCAATCTATTCTGGAGTCTCACCAGCCTCGTACTGAAGAACTTCTTTCTAAGATCTAGCCTAAATCTACTCTCTGTCAGTTTAAAACCATTTCCCATTGTCCTGTTGCTGCACACTCTTGTGAAAAGTCCCTCTCTAGCCAGGGCACCCTGGAGTCTTCTCTTCTCCAGGCTGAACAATCCCTGTGCCCTCAGCCTGTCCTCACAGCAGCAATGCTCCAGCCACTGGATGATCTTTGTGGCCTCCTCTGCACTTGTTCCAACAGTCTCTGTCCCTTTTATGCTGAGAACACTCGGTTCCTAGAAGAGGTGCATAGTTGTTAGCAGGGAATACTTAGAAATCTGGACAGCACTGTTATTAAGATCCCAAATCATAATAAGGAAAGCAAATAATTTTTTTAAAGTTATTGTCTAAGTAGTCAGTTCTCCAGAGATACAATCTTGTTTTCTCTGGAGTTTTGTGTACAATAACTGCTGTCACTAAGATTGTGTTCTGTGATTAGCTGTGCTGACTAATAACAACAGTCTGTCCAGTGTTGTTTCTCCAGTTGTGGTCGTTCCCACCTAAAGTGAGTTCTTACAAGTGTTAGACTTCTTTTTCAATAAAATGCATAAATAAAACTGAGAGAAATTGCCATGGAAGATTACTGTCAGTAATGGTGAAGAACAGGACAATACCTGCTG